TATATTGGATCTACAAAAGAGGCTTGTTAAAGCTTTGAAGAATTTTGTGAGAAGGGACGAAGAAAAAATGAAAAGAAATCAAGTTTCTAGGACATTATTTGAAGGAACTAAAGATCAAGATTGTTAGAAGTAAAAGGAAGGAATATAAAGTTGGTTTATGTGATCAAGGTTAAAATAGATACGTTGTTATCTCTGGTAACCCTTAGTAGGCTTTTGCTGACATGAGGATTGAAATGACAAGGCTTTAAGGATTTGTTTATAGTTAAGAGATGGGATATGGGAAGAAGATATCATAAGAGAAGGTGATAAGTTACTAAAATTATTTATACTTGTGATGAAGGGGGAAGTAATTTCTTTATATATTTCTTTTTCTTTACTATATTCTGATTTTTTTCTTTTCTATTTCTTTTCTATTTTTTCTTTTCTGTACTTTCTGCACTTTCTATTTTTTCTTTTTATTCTTTCTTTTTTGTTTGTATTAGTTTTTATTGTTGTAATTGTAATCTTTAATAAAATAAGAATTAAAAAAATAAGAGGGAGGAAGGTTTAAAAAAATCCCTGGGTGCTGCTGGCAATGGATGCACTTTAAAAAATATAGCTGCTGGGGTGGGGGTGGGAAGGAGGGAGACGAGAGAGAGAAAGGACCAAACCCCCAAGCCCTCATCCCATCTGCTAGTTATTGATACAATAAAATCTTCCTCTACCAGCTGGAAATTAAAAAAAAGAGAGAGAGAGACTCTTGTAACATACTGTGTAAGTCTCTAAAAGAGAAAGACAGTCTTATTGGCAGATATCATCATGAATGAATTACTGAAAAGTGCTGATGTTTCTAGAAGTGTGGAATTTCTTGTTGCTGTCTTGTCAGAAGGAAGCATTTGTGAAAAAAGTAATAGAAAAAATATGCAGTATGTCTGCATTTGAAATGGAAGAAAATACATTAGAAGAAAATATACTGGTTAAAGCTAATATGTATATTTTATTTTCTCACAGAATTCTATGACTGCACTTATTGTAGCTGTAAAAGGTGGCTTTACAGATTCAGTGAAAGAAATCCTGAAAAGAAATCCAAATGTGAACTTAACAGATAAAGATGGAAACACAGCTTTGATGATTGCTTCAAAGGAGGGACACACAGAAATTGTGCAGGATCTCCTTGATGCAGGAACTTACGTAAATATTCCGGATAGAGTAAGTACATGTTTGCGTTGCATACAAGTGCTCCTTTATTTATGTGTGATACAACATATTGAAAGCTAAACTGGGAATATCTGAAATATGTATTGACTCTATGTTGTGTGCTAATTTCAGAGTGGAGATACTGTGCTGATTGGGGCTGTCAGAGGTGGTCATGTTGAAATTGTGAGAGCTTTGCTTCATAAATATGCTGACATAGACATTAGAGGTCAGGTAAGTAATTCTCTGTTTAGTTACAGGCTTCTGAATGTGCCACTTTGAGAATTTAGAAGCATCTTTTTGAGATAGGAAGCATATTTCCAGATAGTAGTGACAGCTTGGAAAAACACTCATACCAAATACTAATGTTTGAGCCTTGCAAGTATATTTCTTAAACTTTACTGCAGGTTGTTTCCTCAGGCTGCATTACAATGTAGAACAGATAGTGGCATTTTTACCTACAGTGTACCTGTTTTGACACTTAGCTGTTGCTATGAGCTACTTATGTCATTGTATGTGAACAATTTGTTTTAGCTGGGTACAGAAAAGTAACAGCATGCAATTTATTTTAATCAAGTATGGGTTCTAAAACCTGAATCGGATAAACTTATTGTTTAAATATAACAATAAGTATACATGTGGTAATAACAATATTCTAATTTTTAGGCAGACTCTACTTATGTAATTGATATTTAAACTAGCTTCTATTTTCCTTCCTGAATAAAACCACTTTAGTTATCTATATTTAAATAATACGCATATAAGGCTTATGAATTTAATCCAACTGACTTTAAAATGTTAATCATATATGTTATTCATTTATAGGATAATAAAACAGCTTTATATTGGGCTGTTGAAAAAGGAAATGCTACCATGGTAAGAGATATTTTGCAGTGTAATCCAGACACTGAAATATGTACAAAGGTAAGTATACAATTAATGGGTTCTAATCCTGAGAAAGCTTTATAAGAGGTGGTTTTGGTGTATATTATTATCTGTTTTTTAATCTATCTTTAAAAAACAATTTAAATTATTTATATCCTATCTTTCTTCTTAAAGAGCCCCCCAAAGCACTTGAACTTTATTGAAGAACCTTTCTGTTTATACAGCAATAACCTGTGCTGGTTTCTTTAGAAGTGTGGCATTTATTTATTTATTTATTTTATATATACCAATATTTTTATTATATATCTCCATTTGCTACTTGTTATCTTTTTGGAATAGTACTAGACAGTAAAATAAAATGCATTTGTTGCTGTGATTGCATGCACATAGTTACCAAAACAATTTAATGTGGCTCCCACCCTGGGAACTATTAAAGAAGATCTGGCTACTCTACCAGGCTTTGGGACAGATAGAATGAAGGGTAAGCACTGCTGAATGAGTTTATTTATGGGTTATATGTTGTTTTGGGAGTTGTTCATGATTCCTTCTTTGTCTTCTATAATTTTTTACTCTTAATTGTAAGCTGCCCAGAGTCGCCCTGTAATTAATTAATTGGGAAGGATATAGCAATATTAGTATTTGGATGTAATGCAGTCAGTGACTAAATAATATCACTTAGACTTTGCAGACAACCCTTTAATAGGACAATTATTCTAATTCATGCATCCAGTGATGCAGAAAAAGAGGAGGTTGATGAGTTTTATGGTCAAGTTCAGTCTGAAATCAACAGAACATGCAAGCAAGATGGGCTGCTTGTGGTTGGACAATGGAATGCCAAAGTTGGCAATAGGAGGAAAGTGTGATTGGATTGTAAAGCCTAGGAAACATAGATGAGGTATGAGAAACAGCTTAACAGTTTCTGGCAATCCAGTGATTTCTTCTTTGCTAACACAGTCTTCCAACAACCAAAATGACAACAATGTATGTGGACATTACTAGATGTCCACAGAAATCAGATTGACTATTAGCGATATAAGGAGATGGAAGAACTTCGATATAACAGCAAAGACATGACCAGAGGCTGACTGTGGAACAGATGACAAACTTCTCATATGCAAGTTCCAAGTCAAGCTAAAGCAGAAGAAGAAAGCCAACCAGTGCCCACAATATAATCTTGAGCATTTATATCACATTGAAGTCCTGAATCTCATTGGTGGAAAATGAAGGGAATTGTGGAATAAAGTCAAATAATTTATTGAGGATTGTAATAAGCCAGACTGCCTGAGCAGATTAAAAGCACCTTTCCCCTCCCTTCTTGGCCCTCCCCATCATCAGGATGACCCAGCTGCCAATCAAACAGAAGTATTAGGCGGGAGATGAGAAGGAGGGAAGAAAAGATGACTACCTGAGAGCAGTGCAGCCACAGGCCTCATGAAGGCTGAATAAACAGAGCCAAAGTAAAGGGGCAAACTAAAAACTAGACAGCCCTAGAGAAGAGGCAACAGGAACTGTCAGCCCTCACAGGAACAGAGACAGTGGCTGAGAAAACTGGGGAGAGAGGTGTTTATTTCCTTCTCTTAGGCTGGCGAGAGGTAAAAAGTTCTTCAAGTGATTTCCCTCAGATGGAGCAAAGATTTGGAAGGGGAGAAGAATCAAGAAGTCCAGCCAGGAACAAACAAGCAGAAAAGATGAAGAAAAAGTAAAGACTTTGACAGGACAGAAATAGAAAACAGAAATTAAAAAAGATAAAAGACAAAGCAAACTCTGTAGAAAAAGATGTATAGCTCTAGAGAGAGTGAGAGTAGAGATATATAGGGATCAATACAACAGAAAGTCAGCAATAAATAAACATATTAGAGATACAGAATAGAAGGATATGAAAATATAGTGAATTCAGATTTGAAAGAAAACAGTGTAGACAAAGCTTATCGATAATAGCTGGTGAAAGAAAATAGTTTTATTATTAAGATCAGAATTGTGCAGGCAACGATTTTTCTTGTAATACTCTATAGAAGCAAAAGTTGGAGTTTTAAGGAGCAGGATAGAAAGAGCATTGATACTTTTGAACTTTGGTGTTGGAAAGATTCAACAAAACAAACAAATGGATCATAGAACAGATCTAGGATTCTCACTTGAGGCACAAATGACCAGGTTCAAATTATCATATTTTGGACACATTATGTGAAGACTAACTCTCTGGAGAAGTTCATAATGCTGGGAAAGGTGGAAAAAAAGAAGAGAATGATCAGCTGCAAAGTAGATGGGCAAAATTACACTGGCAGTGGGTGCACTGTTGGAAGATCTGAAGGGCAGGTTTGAGGATGCATCATCCTGGATAAATTCTGAGTGGTCACTAAGAGTTGGCATCAACTTGATGGCACGTAATCAAATAAAATAATCAATTAATTTCATTTGATTTGTATACTTGCAGTGATTAAAACATATTTGTAGTTCAGTAGCTGCTAATATAATTAAAAGCCTGCTAAAAATAATGACTAATGTGGCTAAAATTATACTGCACCTCAAACCTTTCAGATGGAAAAGGGTTTTGTCATGAAATATAATTTGGCTTTTAAAAATCAATATTTATGCTAAATGTTCTTTATTTGTTCTTCAAGTGTTCACTAGATCTTTCTTTTTTTGCTTTTAGGATGGTGAAACACCTCTTATAAAGGCAACCAAAATGAGAAATATTGAAATAGTTGAGCTTCTGCTGGACAAAGGAGCGAAAGTTTCTGCTGTAGATAAGGTAAAATCTAATTGTTGATCAACGTGAAAAGCACAGTTGAAAGTTACTTGTGGCGGAGGGCTGATCTTAAAGGGAAAAAAGCAATCAGAAAGATTAAAAAATGACTTTTTAGACTTTTCTCATTTAGTAAGAATATGAACAATATGAGAAAACAAATGATTTAAAGAAAATAAGTTAAATTCCTTTTGTAGGGAGTAAAGGAATGAGGGAAACATAACTTGAGTTTTTGAATATATGAGCTTCTGCACAAGTGAAACTGTAGAAAGAAATCCAGATTCAAAGGGCAAAATTTGATTGGCGCATGCATAGACACGTGTCAGGAACACTTTAAATGTGTATTGTATTAGCTGCAGAGAAGATGGAGCTGTTGAAAAATATTATCAACAGGTATACTTCATGCCCGCTGTGCTCCAGATTGCATTTTGCCCTTTAAATCCAGATCTCTGCATAGCTCTTATGTGCAGTAATCTAGCTTCTACATCCATTAACTTATGATGACTCTTACAGAAAGGAGACACTCCACTTCATATTGCTATTCGTGGCAGGAGCCGTAGGCTTGCAGAGCTGCTTTTAAGAAACCCTAAAGATGGCAGGCTACTTTATAGGCCTAATAAAGCTGGCGAAACCCCTTACAACATTGATTGCAGCCATCAGAAAAGCATCTTAACTCAAATCTTTGGTGCTAGTAAGTATTTAGGATTTTCTTAATATAAATATTTCTGATATTTTGAGAAATATGTTTGTGGAATCCAGAAAAAACATAATGATTAAATGTCAATGCAGGCAAAAATGTAGTAGCTATATTTTAATGTAATGATAAATGCTGTTTTAGAAATATGCTAGAATAGTCTAGTGTCTTCCTGCACTTGTGCACGTCTCTTTTCCTAAGTGTGTGGGAGAATTTTAAACAGGTTGGACTTAAAATTGTGATTAATGTCTATCAGTACAGTAGTTTATAGATATAAAAGTAGTTTTGATCAGTAGTTTATAAGTCCAAAAATCTGCAAACTCTTTCAGCCAACTTGGAGTCAGGAAGCTAAACTCATTCCTATCGTGCCAAACCAATGTGAGATCGAAGAATTAATCTTAATTTGCCTTTGTTTAGGCATGCTAGCCTTTTTAATTTGGTTTGTAAAAATCTCTGTGTTTGAATGCTTTTAGACCATCCTCTGACTTGTAATGTCATTTGTTATGAATTTTCCTCCATGATTTAAATAGCAAGAAAGTTTTCTCTCTTTTGGCTCTTCAGTTTTGGAATACCTTTCTCCTGGAAGCTAGATTAATTCCAGTATTGTATGCTTTTTAGCACCTGGCTACTAAAAGGATTGATTAGCAACAGGTTGAATAGATAGAGGTGGACAGCCTGATGCCCTCCAAATATTTTGGGGTACATCTCCCAGAATTCTTTGCTATTAGTCATGCTAACTGGGGCTGATGGGAGTTTTCATATAATCAGTTTGCCACTTTAAATATAGAGTAACTGCACTTGGGGTGGAAGTCAAGAAGAATTATATCTTAGATAGCTTAGACAGAACTGTTTTCTTATTCTTGATATGGGAATGGAAAATAAACATGTAACTAGTACATTTGTCTTTATAGAATAGTTACTTTAAGCTGGCTGGCCGTGATCTGGTATTCATGATAAAGAACCAAGCAAAAAAAAAAATGATTTTACAAGTTTAATTGTGTTGCAGGGCACTTGTCTCCTACTGAATCTGATGGAGATATGCTGGGTTATGATCTTTATAGCAGTGCATTAGCCGATATTCTTAGTGAACCAACGATGCAGCCACCAATTTGTGTTGGGCTGTATGCCCAATGGGGAAGTGGCAAATCTTTCTTGCTCAAGAAACTTGAAGGTAAATATTTGATTTGAATACTTATTGAATGCTAGATAATGGCTTGGTTTTTATTTATTTTAAAAAAATTATACAGGCATCCATTTCAGACATTGCAATTGTGGGTGGCATACATACATTTTTATTAGGCTGTTCATCAGAGGTACATGAACCGTTATCAACTCATACATTTTCCAGTTCAGGCCCATCAGTACATGTGTGGTTGGGATTCCTTGCTCCGCTGTGCTTTTGTTTTTATATTTGCTTAAATTGGCATTTCTGCAAGTCTAGAAGGATTATTTTGGACACTTCCCTTTTGTTTAAATTATTGCCATTAGTAAATCTTTTTCATCCACAAAATCTCTTTGGTCCATGACTGCTAAACTTGCTCAGGAGTCTTTGGTAAAAAAAATGAGGGAATAGAAAGGATGTTCATACAGTTGAGAGTGAAAGCTATTATACAGTGGAACAGCCTGCCTTCTGAAGTCATGGGTGTTCCATCATTCAAGGTTTTCAAGACAAGATTGGACAGCCACTTGTCTGGGATGGTATGAGGATTCCTGCACTGGGGAGGAGGTTGGTGACCTCCAAGGTCCCCTCCAGCCCTGTAATTCTATGGAAAACTCATTTGGATTTCCACAGATTTCAACAGTATAAAGTGGATCACTTTTATTCTTCAGGAAAATAGATCTCTATTCAATGGTATCTATCTTTGGAATTTTATGTTGACTAAAAATTATTTCTCCTTTTTTAGATGAAATGAAAACATTTGCTGGACAGCAGATTGAACCTTTGTTCCAATTTTCCTGGCTTATTGTGTTCCTTTCACTTTCATTGTGTGGAGGCCTTGGCTTATTGCTCGCATTTACCGTAGATGAAAAACTTGGAATAGCAGTGGCATTGAGCTTATTAGCACTGCTATATATATTTTTCAGTAAGTTTTGTTTCAAGTGAAATAAATTTTTAACTTGTTGCATGTTTAAAATTAAGCTGATATTTTACTTAATCCACAAATGAAGCAAAAGTCAAGCCACATTGTTGAAAACTATAACATTGTACTTAGTTGAAAGGTCTCTTAAGTTGTGGAAGTCCTTGCTAGAAGAGGATATGTGTAAAAATTATATCTATATCCCCCTTCACCCCCAAATCCTTCTCTAAAAAACATGGGATGATAGAAAGAATTCGCAGAAAATTCTACTCACATGTTAGATTTCAAGCATGAGTGATATATTAAGATATTGTATCTTAATTGGAAAAGTTAGTGTATTTACAAAAATTAGGGTTCAAATATTTCCTGAATTGGAATCAGGACCACTGTGATTCTTCTGTCTGTTTATCTGCCATGATAACCATGCAGATTAGAAATACAGCTGTAGAAAAGATGGAGAAAATGCTTTCACTGTAGAGTACATAGAACATGAGACCAGGAATAAAACTTATTTGAGTAACATAGTGCTTAAGAATAAGGTTTGAAAAATTTATGATTGCATTTGTCAATCCATTTGAATTACAAAATTTGACAGCATAGCCCAAACTCGTTTTTTCCACTGATTTAGTGTCTCGCTTTATTTGAAATCACTTTATATGAGGTTTTCAGGGAACATAATCCTAACGTAAAGCAAGGGAAGTCTGTACTGTATTCTATGATTATACTATTGACTATTACTGATTATTCAGTGCTGTTCTTCAGTGCAGTTAATGACACTGTAGAGAATGATACATATACACCAAAATGTACATGTCCCTATTGTGTTTGTCAAACTTCTTCTCCTGAGTTAAACAATTGTTTTGAGTTTTTTAAAACAGAAATTATATAAATGCAAAAGGATATATTGGGTACAATGTAGGAGGACTGCCGGGTTATTCTATGGTAGCAAAAAATTTGAAGGAATTTCATAGTACCTTTTCTAACACATTTTATTAAAAAGCATAAAGTTTGGTGAACTGGAGCTCACTTCATCAGATGTATAGAGTGACTAGATTAATGTATTTAAATAGGGATTTAAATAGGGATAAAGCAGGGAAGGAGGGAGGGAGGGAAGGTAGGTTGGTTATGGAAATTCAGGTTACATGTAAGACAGATTGCAAGTGCCTTATTAACAACTGTAATGTGTTAAAAACCCACTGTGTTTGTTGACGTGTAATGTATGTATCTTGAGAAAACATTTAATAAACCTAACTCCTTCTACTTCATCCCCTAACAATGTTGTAGGACTAAATGAAAATATGTGATTTTCTTGAATAGCAGTGACGTAGGCTAAAATGTATTACATGACATCTTGTAATGCTTTTTATAAATACTATTAACATTTAAGGTGTCTAAACCATCTTATTTTAGCTGTAATATATTTTGGGAGCCGAAGAGAAGGAGAAAATTGGAATTGGTCATGGGTGCTTAGTACAAGATTGGCAAGACATATTGGCTACATGGAATTACTTCTTAAACTCATGTTTGTGAACCCACCTGAGCTGCCAGAGCAAACTACTAAAGCCTTACCTGTCAGGTCAGAACCATTTATAATACTGTTTTTTTTAACAAATAATGCCAGGGCTCTAAAAAAAGGTTTAATGTTGTAAGACCTTTACTGTGGCCCAAATTTGCTAGAAATACTGAACTGCAATCTTTAAAAGAATGTATTAGCTGATACTCTTGTAAAACTGATTATGTTGTATTAGCTGTGGACTCTGATGCTTTACTTGAAATTCCATAAGTGGCTATATTTTGTATAGAGCTTGTCATTTTACATGCTTTGCATATTTACTTTTATCTGAATTAACTTTTAATAATGCAATTATCCATCAAAATTGGATTAATTTCTTGGGAGGCACTGTTTAATGATAGTATTGGTCATTTCAGTATTTGATACCATGGTCATTCCCCTATTGTGTCCCTCAAGGTTCTGTTTTGTTCCCATACATTTAATGCATATGTGAAGCTACTGAGACATCTTGGAGCTCATTACCACCAGTAGGATCTTTCTCACTCTGTTCTCTTTAAATCCAAGGAAGTGGATTGAGTTCTAAATTTATTTATTTACAAAGGCTTGTATGCCTCTCCAATCTAAGGGGACTCTGAGTGGCTTACATTATCCTCTACAGTAAAAAAGGTAAAGAACAAACAGCAATCCACAAAACAATAAAAGCCCCAGTATCTGCAGAATAACCAGATGTCACACAGAAGAAAAACTCATAGCAGGAAACCTCACCACTCACTGTGGGTCTGCTCCCAAGAATTTCTAGAATAGGCACATTTTAATGCTTTCCCAAAAAATCAAAAGCATCTGATATCAGTAATGGGCAGGATGGGCAAACAAGTGGTAATTTAACCCAGGTGAGATGGAAGTGCCTTTGTTCAGTCAGGAGGCATGTCAAGGAATAGGGATTCAACAAGACTCAGTTTTGAAGTTTGGGATACTCCTGAATTTATCCCTGAACCTGGATACCTAGATTTCAGCAGAGGCCAAAACTACATTTGCTAGCTTGCCACTGTGCTTATTTGTGGATATTTCAGATCTGGGCACAGTGATGGATGCCTTACCTATATTGTGTCTATATTATACTCTGTAAGATTGTTTTGAAAAATGATAGAAATTTCAGGTGGCCTGGATGCTACAACCAAAGTGCAGTACAGGTAGTCCCCAGGTTAAGAATAGCCAGTTTAAGGATGGCCCATAGTTAAGAATGGAGCCTATTGTAGCAAAATTCGAGTTAAATACACAATGGTTTGTGTTCATCACACAATACTACTTACACAGTATTATACAATAATACTGTTCCAGCCGAATTCTCCCATATTTTTGAGAGGAGCTCTTTGTCTCCTATCGTAATTTAGTGAACATGGGAGGAGGCCTTCTTGGTGACTGTTTCTGGGCTTTGACAAAAGTAGGCTGAACAGTCTCCTTCTGTGATCTTCCCCAGTAGGTAATTACATTTTTATTCAGGTAATCATTTGATGTTTAATGTAATCTGTTACTAAAATACATTTAAACTAGTAGGTAGTTTTATTATTGATAGTGTTTTAGTTTTTAGTTTCTGAGTTTTATGATCACTAAAAAAGAAACCAATGAAACATATTGAAATATAAAATAATGGAACATGATGAAATGTCTAATCCACATTTTATTTGTGAAACAATCTCAAAGCTTAGTACTTTATTTGAATTTTGTTAGATGCCTTGAACACTGTGCTTGGCAGAAAGGAGGGATAGAAATGCATTAAGGTTATAATCTTACAATAAATTATACAGAAAACCTCTTGGCATCATGGTGTCAGTCTGGCTTGCAGTAAAGTGATCATTGTAGTCCACTGGTACCAGTGAAGAAATGTATTCTTAGGAAGACTTCTACCAAGTTATTTAAAAACTATCAATAACTACTGGATTTGCTCTATAGTTTCCATTCTATACAGAATAATATGCTTATCTGAATCAACCTTTAATGTACGTGGAGTTCTGATTAAATATGTAATTGAAATTCTTTCTATATTGCATTTTAAACAGCTTGTATAGTTATGAAAAGTACTTCTCAATAGTTTTATAAATAGCAGGGGAAGCCTGGCAATTAAAATGAAAACTATGAGAAGATTACTAATGAAAGCTCAGGAATTTAAAAACATCCTAATAAAAGGAAAAACTCTATTTCTACCAACTAATAATAATCTGTAATTATTTATGTTGTTGCTTCTTTAAGGTTTCTGTTTACAGATTACAATAGATTGTCCAGCGTAGGTGGAGAAACCTCAATGGCTGAAATGATTGCTACCCTTTCAGATGCCTGTGAGAGAGAATTTGGGTTTTTAGCAACACGTCTTTTTCGAGTATTCAAAACTGAAGAAACTCAAGGTATGGTTTAAGTTGAATTGAACATTTCTGTTTTCCAGTGGTAGCAGCATATTTTCCCCCAGAAATGCACTTTTCTTTATAAATTCAGCCAGTGTGTTGAGGAAATTAAGGTGTTGGATTAGGACTGGGAAGACCCAGGGTCAAGGCCATCCTTGGCCATGGAAACTCACTTGGTGACTTTGGTCCATTTGGAATTTCTCAGTGCCACTTACCTCACAGGGTTGCTCTTAAACTGTCTTGTAAACTGTCTTGAGCTCTTGTAAGAAATGCAGGATATAAATCTAAGAAATTAGTAATATTGATATACAAGAAATGTTATAATTACAGCGTTGGTTCAAGTTAAAAGAAACTGCAAAACTTGGATGTATATGTCATGGTTACTCTGCTCTGGTAGAAAATTGCATTAAAAGAAAATAATGTTCATACTATATGAAGCAATAGACAAATCTTTTCTATCTGTAGACTTGTAAGGCCATTAACTATTTTCTGTACCTACTGACCTGTTACCTGGAAAATATAGGAGCCTTCACTAGAAGAGCTCTTTTAGGAGGATGTTATATAGGCATAGAGATGCACATCACAAGCAATTAGACATTTAATAAGTTATAATCTTTTTGGCCAGTTAAATTTGCAGTTTGCTTGTTGATGCTCAAAATTATCCTTATGTGATTCTGTACTTGTATTGATTTGTATTGTTCATTCTTCAGTTTCATCTCAGTTTTATAATAGAAACCATTAAATCTATAAAAATCTAAATGATTTAGGGCCAAGTGGGAATATAGAGTGTCTGCAAAACTTCCATGACTTAAAGGAGACAGGACTTTACATCCCTTATACATGGAAGACAACAAAAGGAAGACAGAACTAGAGTGCTCTTGCATAGATACTCTCTACACAGATAAGGACTCTAGAAAACTGTAAAGTAAGAATCTGGGAGTAAGAGTCACAGTGCAGTTTACTTCAGAGTATGTATGCATAGGTTTCCTTGTGCTTTTAGCCCAGGACAAGGGCTTTTATCCATTTCCCTTTTGCAGGAAAACAGTAGGTCAATATCCTGATCTCTTTTCCAATTTCCGTGCTGGTTTGCATAGAGTAACTATCCCCAGTTTAATACAGTAGTTGTCTGTGAATACTTATCTAAACATAAGAGCAATTGAAATGTATTATATTCATATATTTGTTAGGGGAAAAATCTCCAGGGTTGTTTTTAGTTGGACAGTGCACTGGAGTTGTATTCAGGTAGTCCTCGTTTAACGTCCACTCATTCAGTGAGCATTTGAAGTTACGATGGCGCTGAATGAGAGGTACTTATGATGGGTCCTTATAGTTGCGGCCATCATAGCATCCCCACAGTCTCGTAATCATGATTTGGGTGCTCAGCAGTTGGGTTGCAATTATGTCACAGCATCCCGCGGTCACATGGTCACCATTTGTGACCTTCACTGCTGGCTTCCAGCAAGCAAAGTCAATGGGGAAGCTGGCAGGAAGTCACAAATGGCGATCACGTGATCATGGGATGGTGCAACCACATGGGATTCACCAAATGAAGGCAATTGGGACTGCTGGAACTGCTGTTGTAAGTTGGCATGGTCACATGACATTGCGCCTTATGCCCATGTTGCTTAGCAACTATCTGTCCAATCTCATTTCCTATTTTCCTGGGAGTGGAGGATTGTCTTATTATTAGGGTCACATTTCAGTTAAACGTGGTATTTACTGTATGTATTAATCTGCTTGGATATTAATGGCAGCAGGATAGTCTCACTTAAAATCATCCTAATTTTATGAGGTTCATTTGTTAAGCAATCAGAAGTAGGCCTTTTCTTATATCACATCCAACTTACAGAATACTGGAGTTAAATTCAGCCCATTCTTTCTGTTTGCAGGAAAGGTTAGACCTTTCTCTTTAGCTAGGGTTTTTAATTTGATTACCAATAGTAATTATTTTAACTTTTTTGTGAGATTTAAATTTTTTTTTCATCGCTAGTTGGTTTGAGTGTCTTGTAAGCAAGAAGGCAGAATATAAATTATGTAGAATTTATGGTACTTGAATTTTCTGCTAAGTGTAGGAGAAGTGTGTTTACTAGTTGCTGGTTTGTCTTCTAGGTAAAAAGAAATGGAAGAAAACCTGTTGTCTCCCATCCTTTGTTATCTTCCTCTTCATTTTGAGCTGCATTGTTGCTGGGATCACTCTTATAGCTTATTTTAAAGTGAATCCTGAAAACATGACAGTGAATGCTATTCTGATTTCATTTGTATGCATTGTGGGTTTGAGCTTTATCTTGAACTGTCGCACGTGGTGGCAAGTGATGGACTCCATCTTAAATTCACAGAGAAAACGGCTTCACAATGCTGCTTCAAAACTACACAAGCTGAAGAGTGAAGGATTTATGAAAGTAAGTATTATATAATATAGCAGTTTTGAACTGTATGAGTTTTGTTTAAGGATCTGTGGAACTCACAATTTGAGAATGAAATGTTCCAGAGAACTGCAGAACATTTGGTTACCCCTCTAGACCATGCTGTTATGGGGCCAGTAAGGTAGTTTCCAGAAGTAAATCCCCCAAACTTTGAACCCCACTGGTTCAAAGTGTCCTGCATATATTTTTCTAAAGGAAACAGGCCTGTTTCAGAGGCAGATTGCCTCAGTATATGTTGAACCACTTCTGGTTTGGATGATGTAGTTCTGGAAATTGTGTGACAAGCCTTCCTGGAACAACATGGTGTGGAGGAGGAATAGATTGGTCTAGGGGGTCTCTGGAACGTTCCTGAATCAGTGAGTTTTGCACTTCCCTAGTGTAGTTTAACTTGTAATTAATTATAGGGACTCATAAGAATAAAGCAGTTTATCAGCTAGATAACTAAACTTTATATGAGTAAAATGACTCAAAAGATTTAACTACTCTAAATACTGGAAAAAAAATTGTATCTATGGCATTTAAATTAGAGCCCTACTGAAAAGAAGTTTACCTCTATTAACATGTTTGTAGGATTGACATGTTAAGAGTATTTTGATTTTTGTAGGTTCTTAAATGTGAAGTAGAGCTGATGGCAAAAATGGCAAAAACTATAGATAGCTTTACTCAGAATCAAACCAGGCTTGTAGTAATTATTGATGGATTGGATGCATGTGAACAGGACAAAGTTTTACAGATGCTTGATACAGTAAGTATATTTCTAATTGGTTTGCTTTTCAAATGTGACTGGGAGACAAGACATTGGAAATATTCTGAGAATTGGCTTTAATTCAGATAGCTAAGTAAATCCTTAAATAAGTGGAACAAATTAGTTATAACTACTTGTTTCATTGCTTTCAGTGGGACTTGCAGTTCAAATCCGTGCATGTTTTTGTTGGAAACCTCTTGGTGGATTCAGAGGACTTATTCCCAAGTAGAAATTTATAAAATTATTTATAAACACACAGACATGCTAATTTTAAAGTGATAGTAGATTAATGGAGTGATAGTGGATTAGCAGAGGCCCTCCTGTTTCTTACTCCATGCCACAGTTCTTTGAGCCATGTCTTAAGCCATCTCAGGAACAGTTTGTAGGCTGCATCCAATTCAAGAAAAGCTCCATTGTCCAGGCAGTCCCTTGGATTTAATGAAACCTGTGTTTCACATGCATTGCCTGCCAAACCTTTTGTGTCTTAAGAAATATTTAAATGTTTATAGTGGTAGGCAAGTGTGCCACAAATCACAAAATGTGAGTGATTTTTCATGCATACTACACTACTTGTAGTGTATGGAATCAGGAGAAAACAGCAATGAGACATCTTTCATCCAGAAGTACTACATAATGGTTGTGCCCTGAGCTAGTTGTGACCTCCCTCCCTCCCCCCCTTTTTGCCTTTACTGGTTTAATTTGTTTTCTTTTCTTTTCACAGGTTCGAGTCCTTTTTTCGAAAGGCCCATTTATTGCCATTTTTGCTAGTGACCCTCATATCATTATCAAGGCAATTAACCAGAATCTGAACAGTGTACTGAGAGACTCAAATATAAATGGACATGATTACATGAGAAATATAGTTCATTTACCTGTATTTCTTAACAGTCGTGGACTCAGTAGTGCTAAAAAGATGATGGTGGCTGCAACTACAAATGGAGATGTTCCATATACAGATAGTACTGGTATGGTAGCAGAATTATAAATAAGCAATAATCTAAATACTAGATTATTTGTATTAGCTGGAATGAATGAGAGAGAGAATGTGTGTATATACAGTAGATTTATTTTCATTGGTAGTTTTCAATTTTTCTGTATTTTTATATTGCTTTGAGCATTCTGTGAATAAAATTGATAATGAAGCTCAAGCTCAGATATTTTGGTCACCTAATGAGAAGAGAGGACTCTTT